GCTCTTAGTTGCTAGTGGGACATTTCCAGTCTAATTACAGTCACTTATAAGAGATCTGGCATAAGAAAGGGGAGTTGATGTTTAAATAATTTCTGTATTAGTTTTGCACAAGAGAAATGTTTAAGTCTAAATTCTGTTACCAGGATCTCCTGTCTGTCAGTTGTTGGTGCTTTTTGTGATGGTCTCCAACATTTCACACACGTGAAGACAGACAGGCTGTACACAGGACTTCCCAGTGTTTGAGCCAGGCTGCAACATGCTGTGGAGTTGCAGTACAAGCACTGCAAGCCAGTCACTTAACACTTCATTTTGTCATAAAGACAGGAGAGAAATGCTGTCCTGTGCTTTTGCTATGAACCAGGAAGCTGAAGTAAAGGCAACAGGTTGGAACAAAGAGATCCAGGATGTTTGTGAGCCCTGCTAAAGGACCTCTGAGGACATCCTTATGCACCTGCTTCCCTGCTTATTTTACAAAACAACACATGCAGACCCACTGAGTAATTTTCTGTTGAAAGGACCTCCTTTGGTTGTGGTCCTTGAAGGTGTTGATGCTATGCTCAAGTGCCAGCCAAAATACCTAAAACTGCCTTCTCCCAAACACCGCCACAAGTACCAGCATGCATGTTGAAGCTTATAGGGATTGTATAAACTTCATTTTTCTGTTTGTTTGAATAAGGTTGAACCAAACTAACAATGTTTCCCTGTGATATGTACTTGCACCTGTGTCATCCCACTGATTTTCGTGTCTCATGTGGATTCTTGCAAATCTGGAGAGGTACTGTGCTGAAATGCACTCTATTTTGCACAATCCCAGGTGTAGCACCACATGAACACTATCTGGTTCGCCTTCCCTTTGCTCATGAGTGACAGACAGGCACTTAACTTTAGGCAGCTAGAACACTAAAGGCAGTAATCCTGGCATGGATAACCACTGTACCCCACTCTTGTTATTTCTCAGGCAGAGGGATTTTAACAGGCCTGGATTAACTTTTCACTCTGTGTATTGGGAGGAACCACTCCAACACTAAATTCCTCAATTCTCCACTTTTTGTCTGCATATGACTTCTACTGATAAGGGTGGGAATGACATGAATTTTCCTAAATGCATCCCTAGAGCTGCATTGTGCATTCTGCTAAATGATGTCTCTCAGGAAACACGCTCTACTTTGGTGAAAGCTCTCTCCGTTGTATTAGACAGCTTTCCCCCAAAAAGACACCAAGAAAAACTCCAATAATCCGGAAGAAATCTCAGAAAATCCCCAGGAAGGAAAAAGTGTCAAATCATATTCAACTCTGTTACACTGCTGGTTTCCACTCATGGAACTCAGGGAAAAGCTTGTCTCTGCCTTTAAGGTGATAGTTTGTATTCCCAAATAAAGAGATCAACTACTTCAGGCTCAATAAGCCCAAAACAGCCAAGTTCCTGCATGCCCTGTTTGCAGCATTTAGCACATCTGGAAAACCCAGAGATAACCTTGTTCCAGAAGAGGAGCAAGGGCTAAGCAGATTGCTCAGACTCTCACAGGAGTTCTTTAGCAGGACTGGGTGGATACAGGTGGTCATGGAGCAGGACAGTATGCCAGGCTCTGTCTGCCCTCCATGAGGTGTGACCATGAAGTGATGCTCACAGGTATTTGCATCTGTCACGTGTGTGACACATGCCTACATTTCGTGGGTATGTGAGTCAAAAACACTGTCACAGGGCCTCTTGTCTCTGGAAGGCATCCATTAAACACTTGGGCTTTTAACATTTGCCATTCTGGGGCTGCTGTTTTGGTATAAAGCAGCATGGGGACAGGTGGTGCTTTACCTCAGTAGGGCCCTTGTAACCCATTTGAAGCCAGAGCCACAGGAGACTGAGATTTGAAAGTACCTTCTCATCCATTCCCTCTGTGAATGTGCCATAACAACTGGAGTTTGTTAGATGCAGATGCCTGTCAGAGTAGATGGTACAGGCTGGTGAAGGGTTCCTCTCAGGTGCTCAATGCAGGTCCAGAAACCACACTTGAAAGGGACAATTAATGGAAGAGAAGGTGCTTACTCAGAGACCATCTTGCTTCAGGATGCTGCTTTGCCTTGAGGAACATGCTTTTAAAGTCAATGCTGCAGCTGTATAAACCTACAATGAGGCTTTCAATTTCAGCTTTTTTTTTTCTTTTGTTACAGAAGCTCCCATTGCCTTTACATTTATGTATTTTGAAGAGAAAAACTGTCTACAGCTCTAGACTTTCTCCATCTGATTTTTTATCTCTAAAAGGTCATATACAGCTGATCTCATCCCAGGCACTTGTACATGAGAGGAATCAAGGTTAAGAAAGAATGTAACAACCTTTAGAGTGGTTTTATTTGTTGTACTGCTCAGATGATGCAGCAAGGTAACACTACCATAGCTTTCCACTGTGCTTGAACAGCTGTGATGTTTATTATAAATAAATCCACACCTTAAAAGTAGCATCTTAACACAATTGGCCACATTTTCTTTACTGATGTACAAAGTTCTGCTTTAAAAGCTATGTTTAATTGGATAGCATAATGATTTAAGCATACAACTACAATGACAAGTTTAATACCAGTGATGTGAACAGCACACAACCCTCACAGCTTGTCTGTTTTAATAGCAAGTAGTAATTTAATAACTTGTGCTTGAGTTGTGGTTGGCTAACTCCTCTAAAATCACCTCTAAAATCTAAAATATCCTCTAAAATCTAAAATAAAATACAGCAATTTACAGCTTTAATATTTTCCTTGATTTTCCCATCTGCAGTGAATCTTTCCAGCTTTCTTAGTAATTTTGTTTTGCCTTATTCTCCTCTTATACTTTTTTTTCCCCCCTTTGAACTTACAATGCTGTAAGCCTTGGTTATTATTCTACATGTCAAATGCCCCAATATGATTTGGCATACAGCTGAGAAATCCCAGTTCTGTAAACAGGCATAGTGTTATATATTCATAAACCCTAAAATTTTGCATTAGTCTTTCTGGGTAATAACTCACTAACCACCTTTTTATTTTCTTTTTAAAAGTTTTAAAGTATGTGGGCTAATTATCTAATTGATGTTGTTCACCTGAATCTCTTCTTATCAGTAATTTAAAACACTTGGTAGAAGAATTACTGTAAGAGTTTAACAAAAGCCAAGGGAGATATACTGAAAGAACACTAGAGCTAAAAGACAAGGTAAGCTTCTTGCAGGTGAATTAATTTAGTCTTTTTGTGAATTCCATCTTTGTCTGGCTTGAATTTTTAAAATGCTGAACAATCCACTGCTGAAACAGGATACTATTAATTAAATTCCTGTGTGGCTCAGTTTCACATCTTAGACTGATCATGTTGGTTTTCATAAAAATATAAAAAGAAAGAAAATATACTACATCAGAAATAACTATTTTTAAATAATTGTTTAACTGTTCTTTGAAAATACAATTTGTTTACCAGTTTAATGACAGCTCCTGTGCACAGAACCTTATAATTCTAACAAGCCAGCTACTTACATTACTTTACATGGTGCCTTGCTTTTAACTGTGATTTCACATTTATTGAAAAACTACAGTAGTATGCTGCTTCTCAAAACACAGCAAAAATATAGATAAGACAGAGACAAAAAAAAAAAAAAGTGTTCAAAAAGTTAAAGATACTTGGTACCTCAATAATAATGATATCAAAAGAAATTTTTTTACCCTGATCAATCCCCTGTGTCTACTTAGCTCCCTTGCTTGGCACACACATTTTGGGTGAGCACTATTCCCCAGTACTAGGCGGCTTTCAAAATATTTTTGGTTTTAAACCAGCACTGCTCTGTTTTTCCTTCTTTCCAGATGAAAGAAGAATTAGTTGTTTTAGGGATGAATTTGGAATGCATTTCTTTATGATTCCTTTGCTTAGCTCAGTTTGGGGATTTTGTTTTGTAACCTCTCTGTTGGCTGGTTGTTTAATTTCCAAAGTAGTGCTGTCATGGGGAGTATGTTTACAGAGAGAAAAATCACTAGAAGTCCCTTGGGAGACGGAGAAAGACCTGATGGAGATGGAGTGCAGAGAGGCAGCCAGGAAAGGTTCATTCAACACTGACCTTTACTAAGCAGCTGGGATGTTGCGTTCTTAGACAGGACCGGTTGTATTCATGTGTAAAGAGAATTCTGCGCCAATAAACAATCGGCCTGACCAGCTTGCCAGGCCCCTTTAAGCAAAAGCTAGTTTCACTGTAAATGGTTTTCAGGACCACATAAGTTCACTCTGGCAGCCATGTGATGCTGAACAGGTTTGGTGGGGGTCCCTCAGCCTTCCTGCCTCCAGGCTAAGTGTTACAGGGCATCATTTCCTGGCTGTGCTGGGTTGTCCTTCTTACAAAGAAAGGCTGGGTCATCTTTACTTTTGATACAGGGGATCAAAAAGCAACATGAATTTAACTTGTTTAATTTCTTAGGTTTCAGGTTTTTCATTTCTCATTTCAGACAAACTTAGCTGATCTTTTCATTCATCAAGAGGATCATTGCAGGTGAATGAACTGCTCAGGTGAATTATTCTGCAAATTGCCTTTCTTTCACATTTCTCTTATTTCTTTCTTTCCCTGCCATTTCCTTCAGCTGACTATAATCTATAGCCACCTTCCTTCATTTTTTTCCATTACCTGATTAGTCTTTTCTTTTTTACTGGTGGAGCATTTTCTCTCAAAGCTTGAGGCAGGAGTTGTAGCTGTAAGTAGATTGCACTTGCTGTCAGAGGAGGCTGTTGACTTCCAGAAGAGTCGTGCCTTCATATTACCTTCTCCCAGGTGTGTCTTGGGCTCAGTTCCTTGTGCCATTTTAGAGATCGTGTGGGGTTTCTTTGAAATTAGATGCAAAATATAATCAGTCAGCACACAGCTCCAGAAAGGTATATTTGGGAAAAAGCTGTCTTGATGTTCTGCTTCCTTATGTCTCCACAAATACCAAACCACTTGGCTTAGCACTCATGTAGTCAGCACTATTCTCCCATCTGCAGGTATTTGCCATTTAGGCACATTTAGTCAACATTCAGCACTCTCAAACCTTAGGGCCTGTCCTTCATGCTCAGCAAAGCTGTTCCCCGGAGGGAGCCCATACCGATAGCTCTCCATGCTCTCAGCTGGTTTGGATTTTGTGGGGATGGAGTCGTGCTGGTAGAGCAACGCTGACTTTATCATCCCAAAGTCTTCCTGAATCTTCATCCCTGAATAGACAGCACCCGAGATGTTTTCTGCCACATGGGTATAGCTCTGGAGGTTTTTCACGTCGCAGAGGTTGTCGCTGTATTTCAGCGCGGGTGGCTTGTAGGCCTGGTAGGACACCTTGGTGGTGGTGGTGATGACGGTCTGCAGCGGCGGGGCCATGGGAGCGGGGCTGGGGCTGTACCTGCAGGCATAGTCCCCACTGTAGTAAGCATGGGGAGCACTTGTTGCCATCTGCCCGTAGTCACTCCGGTCTCCGCTGCCGGTTTTCCCCCATGCTGGTTTCAGTCCGTAATGTCTGCCAAGGTTATCAAAGCTCTTGTCGTGGGTGGTCACAGCGTTGTAGTGAGACCCGTTCAGACTGTGGGGGTCTGCATCAATGGCAGGACTGGGCAAATCTTTGTAAAACGTTGGGTAAGGACTCGAGCTTATAAAGGTAGGAACTCCAAACTCGTAGCTGCATGGCATGGGCATGTAGAGCCTTGGATTTGGGCATTTAGGGTATGGCGATAGCTGCTCCTCTTGGAAGCTGGCTGAGTCGTAAGGTGCCTTGTAGAGGTCTGTGTTCTGCAGCGAAGGGTAGGACTGGGCTGGAATTGAAAAACTGGTGTCTGTGAAGATACCAACTCTTTCTGGGCCATCCATGCCGTGAAAATTCTGTAGGTTATTGGTGTAACCACTGCTGTCAGGGTACCTTCCTGCCTGACAAGGAGAAGTAGATCTTTAAGACATAGGAATCAATACTGCCCACACACATATGTCTCAATACTTGTGCTATTGCTAGTTTCAGCCCCAAGTTAACAGATGTTAATTTGTAATTAACACATGTTAATACCATGGTGTAAAGCTTTGTTTTGCCCTGGGATCCACAGTACATGCTTATCACGTCTTTTTAATGGACAAAAAATGTCTTCATTTATCTCACCTTTTTATTTCACTAATGACTTTGACTTACCTCTGAATTTAGAGATCTCTTTTTCTGGGAGTGGTGATAAGAGGACATTTGCTTCTTAATTGCACTTCTTCTTGCCTCTGCCTCCAGTTTGCTCTCTGGCCGGGGGTGGTCATGGACTCCTTTAGCCTAAATTAGGATTAACTGAGAATTAGGTGCATACCTAGAAGGGAGTAAGATTAGAGAAAATGCTCTAAGTAGCAGGAGGGGTATTCACAGCATGGTCTGTGGTTTGGCACAAGAAAAAAGGAAGGAGAGACTAAACAAGGACAAATTCATTGTGAAAATATGCAAATAGCGTAAATCATGATTTGGATGTAGATAGAAGGAAAAAGTGAGGGAGAAGTCAGTGAGGACTGCAGAGCTGATGAAGGAGCAAAAGTGCTACCTAAGTTTGTGACATTCAGGAGTAGATAATTAGAACCAAGGGGTTGGGAGTGGGGAGTGAAATTTAGTTTGGTTGGTTTTCTGCAGTCCAGTTCTGCCTTATAAGCACATCTATAAAGAGTGTAAATAGGCTTTAAAGAGGTTTCATGCCACAAGATGAAAAATATTCTCTTAAAAATATTCTCTTAAAGCAATACACCTTCTTGACCAAGACTGAAAATTATATCCTGGAAAACCTGGAAAATCTGAAGATGCTCTGGTATTGAAACATCAGTGGGTATGCAGATCTACATAACCAAAGTTACACAGGCATATGATGAAGTCATGGACACCACATTTTCTTACTCATTTGTCTGAGCAGAGTTACATACAGTCCCTAATACAAAATAGGAAGCTAAAATTTGCTTTTAAAACAGTCCTTTCTCAAGCAGAAATTAACTTCTAAGCAAGGATTTATCAACTTTTTTGATAGTAAATTCTTCCAGATTTGCATGTCTGTAAGTGAACATTTGAAAAAGAATAATATAGGAGTGAATCTGGGAATATGGCCAGTTTTGTTCCATTTACTGACTCTAGAACAGAATTTACTGCTGTGAGAGTCAGAGGAAAAAATTATCCAGAAAAAAAATGTAATCTCATAGAACAGGAACTTTTTGTTTAGTTTTGTTCCAATGTTGCTAAAAAAGAAAAATGAAATTTTGAATTTCAGCTAAGACTCTTCTTTTTTTCCTGTCAAGATTTTAAATCCTTCAAAATTCAAAGGCTAGTTTCACATGAAGTAGAATTTTTATGTTTCAACTCATGTAAATTAAGTGAGAACTTCTTTTCCTATTTATTTTAGTAGGAAATAAATATTTGGAAATAACATTGGAGAGATCCAGCTGTCACATACACCAGGGTGCAAGACAGCCTTTTTGTTCATATTTGTGTTCTGTAAACAGGAGAATTTTAGCCATCAGTGATATTGTAGTTAAAACTGAATATTGCCAACCCATAAGTACTGCTTTCAGAGAGACAGCCAAGTGCTACTGTTTTATTTGTTCTTATGTTCATACTCAAGAGAAATTCATTTGTGGACTAGACCTCTGTCATGCTCAGGGTCTGTGTTACATAAAAAGAGGGGGGGCAGAGGAAGAAATCTCTCTCTTTACAGGTATTTTTTTAATATAATGTGCATAAATACATACAGTTGCTTTCTACCTGGAAAAATATTGCTTTTCCATCAAGCCTCCAGAAGTTCGTGACCGGATAGCCACTGTGTCCTCGGCAAGGAATCAACTCGAGGGCAGAGTTACAGTTGGGGCAGGCTTTCTCTGTGAACAGACAGAAACTACTGAAGAGACTGGTTAAGAGGAATAAACAGAGCTTAAGAGCAACATGATCAGACTTCTCCAAAATTCAGATTAAAATGTAAATTCAAGGAAATGTGACATAGACTACCCAGCATAGCTAAGTGGTATGAACAAGAACTGCCCACTAGATGTATACGCTAATAATTTAAAGGATTTAAATCCATATCCCCCTAAATATTTGCAAACAGACATTGATGAAATTTTGAATTAGCCATTGCAATTGTGCCTTAGTCTGCACGCAAGTAAGAGCGACTCCAGCTTGGAAATCAAGCCCAGAAGTAAGAAAAGGGGTCCCTTGAGCATCGCAGCTCTCTCTGGGTGCCTCTCACTTTGTTGCTTCTGCCGAGCCTTGTCGCAGATGGCGGGGCGGAGCTGCAGCCTGGCCCCGCCGGGCAGAGCGCAGCTCCGGGCACACACCACCACGCCCAGGCAGGACTTCTTGAGGATCTGGCAGTTGTGGTTGTTGGTGTTGCGCATGGCCCAGCCGCTGAGGTGCCGCTGCGCGTTCTTCTCCTCGCTCGAGTAGATGAGCCGCACGTAGCCATCGGGCCACTCCTGGAAGGCGTCGAAGTGCTTGGGCTCCTGCAGCAGGGCAGGTGGGGTGGGAGGGCAAGGCAGCAAGGAGAAGAGCAGGAGAACGTTATTAGTATATTAAACCTGATATTTTTGCCTTCTTATAAGACACATAACAGGGGGCAAAATGCTTTTTCTGTCGCCAGCCAAGCAGCAGAAAAAGAAATATTGAAAGAATAGCTTGTTCAGAAGTGCTCTCTAAAAGGGCTAGGGCAGTTTGAGATTCTGTATCTGAAAAGAAAGTCAGGATCATTTCCTTTTTTGCATCATGATCCATTGTAGCATAGTCTGCTGACACTTATACCTTTTACAGGGAAGTTAGCAGCTATAAGGCGTCAGCCTTACTCCCAGAATTTACTGACTAGTGTACTATCAGTGTGCCCAGATAGGACACAAGCCACCCTGGTCATGACTGCTATTAAGTTCTTTCTCCTTGTTGTGGGACAATGCAGCTGCAGGCAGGAAACTAGAAGTTTTAGCTATGGAATGGCTTCCTAAAGTGCATCTAATATAACATGAATAAGGCTTTTCCCAGAAAATAGAGATAAAATGATTTGTCATTGCAAATGTACTTCCAATATATGTATAGTGGCACTAACAAAGACTATTTCAGTTTGGGATTTCACGGCTTTCATTTTCATTCATTATGAAAACATAATTACTAGAGCTATGAATGAAGATTTTAAACTGCAAATATTTATAATGCAATACATATTTAACATACGTATGTACCACATGTGGGAGCAATCCCAGCAAACAGAAGGAAACTACCAGCATATACAGCATTAAGACATAACAGCATGGGTTCTGTAAACTTAAATAAACTCTAAGATAAAAAAAGTTACAAATGAAAAAACGCATTTGAAACTCACAACTGGACAAAAGTGGAGTGCTCATTGGCATTAAAGTGTTGCACCAATAAATCAAAGGAATAATTAGGTAACTTGTGTAATAGTAGTAAACAGTCAATTCAACCTCCGATTCAGCGTGTCTTGAACAAGGAACAGGAGGCAGAGGGAGAAGGAAACTGTCCAAATGGAGACACAGCTTGTTCTAGGAGTTGATATCCAGCTAGGCAAAGCTGTGCATCAAATCCATACTTTTATTATAAGTGACTTGATAAAGACTACAACACAAAGTGAAAAGGGAAGTAAAGCAGACGTAAAACAAAGCTTTGCTTAGGGTGAAGTTCGTTCCGCTGTTCCCCAGCTCCGCGTTAGAGCTGGACGGAGACTTTCCCCAGTACCTTCCCGACCCCCCGGTACCTGCGGCAGCTTGGGATCGTTGATGTCCCACGTGAGCTTCATGGCAGAGAGTGGCCGTGGGTGGCGGCTCCCGGCTTTTTATGCCGTCGGGGCGTCGCCGAGGTGTGTGTGTGTGGGATCGGAGCTCTCGGCCGGCCTCGTAGGCGGACCAGCAGCAGCATCCCCGAGCGCCACCGCCACCCTCGGGGCGTCGCCGAGGTGTGTGTGTGTGTGTGTGTGTGGGATCGGAGTTCTCGGCCGGCCTCGTAGGCGGACCAGCAGCAGCATCCCCGAGCGCCACCGCCACCCCGGGGTGCGGCAGGAGCTGCGCTCCCCCTCCACGCCACAGGCGGATTTCGCTGCCCTCACCTGAAGGTGTGTGACAGGGGATAGGTGCAGGGTTTGTGCACGAATCCACCCCCCAGCACTAGGGCCGCGACCTCGGCAAATTTGAGCCGGGTTTGGAAGTCTAACCCGGCAGCCGCTCGCTCCCGCGGGTGGCCGGGGAGATGAGAGGGGTGACGGGGAGATGGGGGACCCTTCTCTGCCCCACGGGGATGCTCCTGGTCTTGGATTTTGAGCGTGGCTCGGAGCTGTCCACAGCTTCCAAAGCATCCGGAGGGAGGCGAAGATGCTGAATAACTTGCTCTTTGAACGTAAACGAAACCAGCGTTACTTGGCAGGTTCCCCCTTCGCCCTGTGCTCTGCAGCACCTGGTTTAAAAAGCAAAGTTGGTGTTGGTGCTGTTGTATCGATAGGCACATTTTAACTTATTGAACAGTTACAGGTTTTTTGTTAAATTTTTCTTTTCGAAAGAAACAGCCGGTGGGATCTGAAGTTTGGAGATTTTTGTTTGGTTTTCATGTTTGTTTTTCTTTTTATAGTTTTTGTGGTTTGTTTGTTTGTTTGTTGGAGTGGGGGGAGATTATAGGAAGGAAGGAGGGAGGTTGATTTTCGGTGTGAAAAACAGAAAGAAAAAACTATCCACAACAGCATAGAGACCGAGCCGTTGAACTCCGAGTGCTGCTATCACCCTTTAAATGATCCCACCTGTTCGCAATGATTTTTCTCATTCGCTTCCATCCTCTCTGGTCCAACATTTACTGACCTTTACCCTCAGCTGAGCACGATAAAGCCCACCCGGCAGCAGCACACTTCGGTTGTGGCATCCCTCGGTCGAGAGCAGCCCCCAGGGAGGCTCTGAGTTCCTCCTTTGCACCCTGGGCTCGGCCGGGGCTCTGTCAGTGCTCGGTACCGCGATGCGAGGGGCCCGTCCCGGGTGCCGCACAGCTGCGGCTTTTTAGGGCGTGGTGCGAACCGCGCTGCTTTTCCTCCTTTTTTTTTCCTCCGCTGCTGGGGTGTAGAGTGAGGGCTTGCTGAGGAAAGGAGCGTGCTCGGAGCTGTGGGAGAGGCTGGCGGGGGTCACTCTCCGCGCTAAGCGCCGGTGTGTCCCGCAGCAGCGGGTCACGGTGGGGTGTGAAGCAGCGCCCGCGCCATGGCCCAGGTGAGCGGCGCTCCCCGCGGCGGGGACGCGGCCACGGACAGGGGACACCCCGCGCTCCCTCCGGGGGACACCCGCGGGGCTCCCCGCGGCCGCCAGAAACCTCGGGCTGGGAGGTGTGGGGGGGTTTTGCATTTAAGGTAATAACGAAGGAAAACTAGCTTTTTGGAAGTGAGGGGATGAGTAAGTGCTCTTCAGCTTTGAGGCGGAAAAAGTTGGTTGTTTTGGTTGGGTTTTCTTTTTTGCGGGGCGGGGGGGAGAGGGAAAGATTTTTTCTGTATTTTTCTATTCCTTTTTTTTTTTTTAAAGGAAGAAATAAGTGAAGAACGAAATAGAGATGTGAGTGGTAGTATGGCAGACAGAACAGAAGACTACGTAAGGATCTTTTAAATGCATCCTTATCTTTATCTTACAAGTTGTTACTTTTAAAATATGTATCTATTTACATGTACTTTTCTTAAGTGGATATGTCATGACCCAGAACTTTTAGTAATTTTATTTGAAGTGGGAAGTGCAGTAGTCCTCCTAATATTTTCTTTTCTAAGTGGGAAGAAATTATTGTAATAGCTGTGGGACTTAGAAACTGCGGGCTATACTAAACTGTCTATTTCCTTACTCGGTACCTTTTATGATTATTCCGTTTCAAGAGTTCTGTCTCTTTTGGACATTAAGACTGATGTTTCACTAAAGATGTAGTAGGAAAATTAAAGTAGAGAAACAATTTAAAACAAATAACCAGAAAATTGCAACTTTTAAAATGGCATTAGAAGTATTTTATCATAATTAGTGCTGCTACAGTTTCAATGCCTGCTTATTTTACTCACTAATTGTTTCCTTCCCTTCTGTCTACAGCTTGAATCATTGCTCATTGATGCCTTTAAAGGGAAGGGGTTTCAAAAAATACATGAACTGCTTCAAGAGAAGGAAGTAGAGCCTCCCCAGAAATACAGTGAATCTCTCTTTAACCAGCTGGACAAAGCACTGAGAAAGGCAAGTACCATAAATAATCTCAACTCTCCTAACAGCCAACTCAGAGGGTAGCAGGCTAATGATGGACAGCACTCTGTGTTTCTGTAGGAGCTGGACAAGAATGAATTCAAGAATGTTTCATTGCTGCTGAAATGTATTCAGCTCTACCTTAAAAGTGATCTTCAAGAAGGGAAGAGCTTGTTTATTGAGCAAGGACTGGTAGCAAAGATGAGTATAATACTATATACTATTTACTAATGTGATTTACGGTTGTTTGCATCAGAAAAATAACTCCAAGGAAGTGAAAACTAGAGGGTGGCTTCTTGGTCCCACAGAAACAAAATATTTTTTTAATATATTGCATGACCTGAGTGGGGAAAAAATACTGAATCTCCTATTGCTTTTGGTGTAGCAGCCAATTTTATGGCTCCACTTACTACCTGATTTAAAGGGTTGGGTTTTTGGGCTTTTTTTTAAGCTGATAGTAGAAGGAGAGAATTTCTAGAAGACCCATTAGTGAAATGATATAGACTTTCTAAAAGCATTTTAAATGCTCCAGCAAAATACATTTTACTAAAATACAATTTTAGTAGTAGAATGACTAAGTAGATGACTGCTTTGCGCTTTTATATTTTTAAAAACTGAGATATTCTTTATGAGGGTCCCTTTCTAGTTCTGTGCAAACCCCATGCATTTAATCTGCAGTTGTGTTTTTTCTTCTGGCCCTATATTGATTTCAGCTGGTAATAGTTGTAGTAGCAGAAAGGCAATTGTGCTGAAGATGAGTAACACCTGGATCTAACACAGTTGCCAGGAAACCTGTGCTGTCTGTTAGCAGAGAGCTAACTGAGGAGTCCTCAGTCCAAAATGTTGTATTCTTGCCTTGTTATGCTACCAGTTATGCTTTTCAGGGTTACAGTTGCTCAAAATTCCTGTATGGAGATAAATTAATAAATTTTTTCCAGTCTGAGCTCTGTACTTTCAGTGGAATGTAGATTTCTAGTTCACCATTTGTGTGTGATGCTATGTGATGTTTAAAACCATGAAGTATTGAAATATATACCTTGAAAAAGTTGTACAGTAGTTTGCTGTGAGTTGATGTCCTCTAGAAATGCCTATAGTAGTTTTGGTGCCACTAGCAGCATGTATTGTGTCCGAGCACCAGGAGTGCTCAGGTGCCTTTTTCTTGGACAAGAAAGGAGGATAAAAGGAGGGCTAGGGAGGGAAGGGGGGAAATGGCACTTTTCACGTCCTCCTAGCAAAATTTGAACTCCTTAAAGCCATGTAGCTTTTGACGCAAGTACATGACTCTAAAGTTTAAAGAGTAAAGAACCCTGTAGGGTTTCCTGCAGAGGTGTATAATTTAGGATTATTAATTCCTCTTCTCAATTTTTAACTCTTATTTTTTTTAACTTTTACCTGGTATCTTGGTTTGAAAGAGCAAGAGCATTTGTGACCGTCATCAACCCAAATGAGAATAAATTTTTGATGCTACTGCTTGAAGACTTCTTTGATTCTGCATTGGTATGTTTGTGCATTTAAGGGGACAGAAGGGTTGCCTTTATTGGATAAGATAAGCTGTTGTTTATAAACAATTTCCTGTTAGAAAATGAATAATTGCATGGACAGGGTGTCCTCGTGCTGAGCCTGGGAAGTAGCCTAGGTGGAATGGGTGGGCAGTGTCTAGGAGTCTGCTCCAGGCTGGGGTCTGGCTGAGATTTGACACACTTGGGAGAAGCATTTTTTCATTTTCTAACTTGAAGTATTTGTTTTTTACAAAAATTTGCAAAAAAAAAACCTGATGCATTTTGTAAATAAAGGCTTGTGAACTGAAGCTCTCTTTAAAACCCACAAGTTAGTGACACTGAGCTGCACTTCATGTGCAAACATGCTTGCTAAGCTGGTCCTGGCAATTTGTTCCTACTCTGTTTGAAACAGATTATTTAATTCTAAAAAATTATCTAACTTGCTTACAACTCTCATTAGGTTTCAACTTTAAATATTCATGGCTTTAAGTGTGTTAGAGGCCTAGTGATGTAACATTTGTAATAGGAAGAATGCTTTTCAGTTTTTTCCTCCAAGCTGTTGCTCCCAGTCTTGTTGTCTGTAGCTTACTGGAACAGTGTCACTTTGTGCATCAGAGTTCATATCAATACCTACGTCTCTTTTCAGGAGTTCTGCTAAAAGATATTTGAGCAAAATCAAGCTTCCTTCTTTCTGTGCTAGCCACTTTGAAATTATAAAACATCCATTTATTTTCCCAAAAATTGAATTTATTTTGAATTGTCTTCCTGCTACATTTCTTCCACATGATTTCACTGTGGAGGAGGAAGTGTTTTGTGTTATGGAGTTGTTTTTAATTTTCCTCAAGGGGCTTCAACACCCTTCAGATACACATTGTGATATCTAGTACTGTAGTGTATTACCATAAAATGTGCTTTCACATAGGCCCACATGTGTAACAAAAATAAGAGAACGATGTCATGATGTGGGTTTTCCAGGGAACCTGTAGGCACTGTGCTCTCAAGTGCTGCTGAAATCCCTGGGGGAAGTGGGTACTTGGCTACCTTTACCCTCCCTGCATATAGTGTGA